GCAGAGGAACTGTGAGCCCAGAAGAAAGGGAATTTTCCTCATTTATCTCGTTGTAATGACCAGTTGCTCAATTGGGGATTTTTAGGTCTGAATTTTTTGTTTTCCACCACTTACGGGCCACCGAGGCACCAGAAGACCTGCCCCTACCCCCCGGGGGCTTGGTCTGCTCCTTGCCTCAAGGCAAAGCCAAGGCCACTTCTGATTCTTTCTCTTTTTATTTTTATTTTTTTAGTTCAAATTTACATAAAAGTACAGAGAACAGAGCCTGATGTTCCACTGCCCAGGCTGGGTCATTATCAGGGGGTGGACGCCTCTCACCCCATTCCGTCCCCCTCCCCTGCTTCTCCATCATTCCAGATCCCACCCGCCTCTCAGCCGCCGCTCTTACCAGCAGAGTAGACTGGAAGGGACGATGACGCATGTGTCCCTGAGACTCGTGCCACACTGAACGGCAGAGTGCTCCCGAGGGCCTCGAGGGGACGGAACTGAAAACAGAGTGAGGAGTTCAAGATGGAGAAAATCCAGAGTGCAGTTTTCCAAGTGATTAAAAAATAAAGGACAACCCTAAACGCTATCTGTGAGGTCATCGCTACTGAAATCAGGATGACCCAGCCCCAGATCAAATCTGCTATAGAAGCTTCTGGAAGACGGTGTCCGAGCCTCCGCGTGAACGTCCCTGGGGCTTTCCCCAAGGTTTCAGTTCATTGGAATAAATGCTGACGTGCCCCGACCCGGTCCACTCTGTGTAGACACGGCGTCCACCCCACCTGTGCCCCTCACCTTACTGTAATCATTAGTTCTATTTTTAAGAGCAGTTTACAGAAAAACGGAGCGGAAAGCACAGTTCCCATGAGCCCCTCCCACCCCACCGCTGCCCCTGCTAGTCGCATCTTGCATGAGCTGGGGACACGCGCTCCAACTGATGAGCTATGGCCATTGATGAGCCGGAGTCCACGGTTCCCGTGAGGGTCCCTCCTTGGGTTGTGCGTCACTTGGGATGCGACAGGCGGGCACATCGGCCTCCTAGACCCCCCGTGTTCCACCTCTTTTCCCTCTCCCCACCCCTCAGAATCCTTGGTGACCACTGGTCTTTTTGCTGTCCCCAAGACGTGGGGAGAGTTGGGATCCCGCTGCACGCGGCCTTCAGAATGACTTCTCTTGCTGAGCCGTGAGCGCACGGTTCCTGGGGGCCTCGAGTTGACAACTCTGATGTCCCACATCCCACGTCTGTCCGTCGCTCCATTTCTCTGTCTAAGGGCTTCTTAGGGGCCTCGGAGCTTGGGCGATTATGGATAAAGCCGCTGTAAACTGCGGACGTTGCTCTTTGTGTGGGCATAGTTTTGGACTCATTTGAATGAATGCTGAGGAGCTGCTGGTTCCTAGCACATGGATGATTTTTAGAGTGACTTGCAAAGATCTGTCTTTGGTTAGTGGCTTTAAACAGGAAACTTTTTTAAAAATCAAGGGGTAGCATACCTAAGGGCACTGATGCCTGAGTCACCCATGCATCTCCAGCACCCAGAGGTCCCCAGGCCCCTTCCTGGTCACGACCTGCCTCTTCTGCCCCCAGAGATGAGGTGTCCTGAGTTCTAGCACAACCCCCGGGTTTTGCCCCTCAGGCAACTCCCACACTACAGCTTTTAAAGGTGGGTTTTGGGGTCTGGAGGGAGTGTGGGGGGTAGTTACTTCATTTGGGTTGACTTGGATCAGGCAGAGCCTAATTTCATCATTTTATAGGTGAATATTTTCCTTTTTGCTGACCAATAAAACTTTATTTACCAAAAACAGGCCGGATGTGGGCCCTGGGGTGCAGTGTGTTGAACCTGGGGGAGAGCTGGGCTTTTCCCTTGTAAAGCTGATGTTGGGGCTGGGCGTGGTGGTGCTCAGCGGTGATCCCAGCAGCTCAGGAGCCTGAGGCAGGAGGATGGCAAGTTTGAGGCCAGTCTGCACAACTGTGAGAACCTGTTTCAAAGTAAAAACTAAAAAGGGCTGGGATGTAGCTGAGTGGCAGAGCGGCCCTGGGCTGAGTCCCCTGTCCTGGGCGGGGAGATCACATGAGGTCTCCCCCACATCTGAGTTGTGTGTCCCGCGCAGCTTCAGACCTCAGCCCTGTCTCCCAGGAGGAGGGCAGCGTGTCCAGGGCCCTGGGCTGTGAAGTGCATTTACAGTAGAGGAAACAAAGCCCAGCAGGGCCCCCCCCCCCACACCCCGGGCAGCGCGAGTCAGTTCATGACGTTCCACGGGTGCCATCCCCTCTGGGGCAGTAACAGGTCCTGCCTGGTCCTCCTACTGCAGGGGGGGTTTCAGATGCTGGGCGGAAAGTGCCCCTGTTAAAGGGAGCAGAAAGGAGGCTCGTCTGGGGGACCATGGGGGGGCAGGAGTCTTGGGGAATCCCCGCAGAGATGAAAAGTGGGCCCCTCAGGCGTGAGAGAAAGTTGTGGTCAGAGGGGGAACTCTGCAGACTGAGTGTGTGGCGCTGGAACCGTTTCGAGTGAGCTGTGGGCTGAGGTGACAGTGTCGAGCCATGGGGAGCAGCCGTTTCAGAGCACCTCACGGGCGCCACCTCCACGCAGCTCCCCCGTCCTGGGACGCGGCTCTGTGGCACCCCGTCTGACAGCAGGGGAGACGGAGGGGGCGGTGCAGGCAGGCCGCAGAACTGCTCAGGACGGGAACCCTGCCAGTCTAGGCTCTGCGTCTCGGGATGGAGGGCCATCTGCCTCCCAGGGGTGACCTCCCAGGTGTGACGTGGAAGCCAGGGGCACTGGGCAGTGGGGTTCAGCAGGTGTGGGCACCTGGACTGCAGAGGTGGCGGGAAGGCAGAGGACCACGGCAGGGGAGCACATGGGCCTGGGACCCTGTGGCAGGGGCTTTTTTTGGAGTAACAACACCACCGTCCAGTAGGAGGTAAGGTCATGGGCGGTCAGCAACAGACCCAGAGCCTTCCCACAGCTGGAATTCTTTTTGCATTTTATTTTGGGAAAACCACAGCCAAAAAAAGAAAAAGGTGGAAAAAAAATGTGGGTGGACGGGGATTTGTTCAAATGCCCGAACTTCCCCGGTTTTGCCCGATGGGTGCACACTTGGATCTGCCTCCGACATCTTTTACAGTAAACGTATCTTTCTCATCTTATCGGTTTTCCTCTTTTACATCCACGTTATTCTCCAGAGGAGACAGCTGTTCCGGTGGTCTTCATGTCTCCCACAGGATTCAACATGACAAACGCACCTGCGGAGGCTCTGGGCCCCATTTGTGACCTGCAAGACTCTGAAACCTGGTCCCCCCGGGAGCTTCCGGGCACTGGGAGAGGTTCGTTCATCTTGGGGGCCAAGGGGCGAGGCAGTTAGAACTTAATTGTATTAAGACAGTTAAAAAATTTTCAGGAAGATTTAAGGCAAAAAGCACACAAGAGACTCTGAGCCTTATCTTCTGGAAAGTTCCAGGAAGTTCTGTTTTCCCCCAGAGACCCAGAGGTTTATTAGGCACATTCAAGAGAGGACGTGGGCCGTCTCCAGAGGGGGGAGCGGCCCCCGGAGTTTGGAAGTCCTGCGGGATCACCTCCTGGCTGGCCCTCCTCCAGGCCACAGGCGGCCCAGAATCTGACAGGCACAGAGAGAATGTTCTGGCGCGTTGCTGGTGCTGCGCCGTGGCCCCCTCAGCCCCCCTGGGAGGTCAGAGTAGCTGATGCACAAGTCGCTGTGACCTCGGCTTCTGAGCCCGGCTGATGCTGCTGGGGAGCCAGACACCCCCGATTTCACAGGGGCCTGGGCTCGGCTTCCTCTGGCCACGCTTCTTCTTGGGGACACAAGCAGACTCTTTCCCTCTGTGGCTCTGCCATGGCCTCTGCTCACCACCTTCCGCTTGTGCTGGGGACTGATCCAGAGGTGGCTTGTGACAGTGTGCAAGCCGGTGACGCGGCCGGCTGTGTTTTATTGAGATAATGCCGTCATTTCCTTCCAGGCCTGCATTTCTGGCTTCTGGGCACAAGTCAGGCCTGGCCGCTCTGCTCTGGGCTGCTTGGTGGCCTGGTGCTGAAGTCACCTCCTGGCCCCACCCATCACAGACATGGCGCTCTGACTGCCCCGCGCCATCAGACCTGCTGCAGCTTTCTTGATCCTAGTTTTGTCCTCTAACTGTGCCCTGGGAAATTGGGTCACACAGAAAGGGGGCCGTGAGGGTCTCCTCTCGGAGCCACTGCCATCGCCTGCCTGACCCCCGCAGGCCTTCATCCAACGTGGACAAGTAGGGACCTATTTAAGTTACCCCAGTTGACTTCAGGATAAAAAACAGAAGCAACCGGTGTGGGTGCGGGTGCCGGTTGGGGTGCGGGAGAGGGAGCGGGTGTGGGTGTGGGCATGGGTGCTGGTGTGGGTGTGGGTGTGGGTGTGGGCACGGGTGGGGGTGCCCGTGCGGGTGCAGCGCAGGTGCGGGTGCAGGTGCGGGCCGTCGCTTCCCAGCTCTCTGCCTCTGGGTGGGTTGGCGTCAAGGCACAAGAGCCACCTGCCCTAGGTGAGTGTCCGCCTTCAAGCGCCGCTCAGGCCACTCTCAGCTGGGCAAACTGTCACAGCGGCCGTTCCTGTGGTGACCGATTCTGCTCTCCAGGAACAGGCGTCCCCCGTGACGTGGGGCCTCCGCTGCGGGCCGCGTGTTCGCTGGGTTCCTGGTGGAATGACCTGACCTTCGTCTTTAGGGGAACTGGCCCTGTGGCTGCGAGGTGGGAAGACAATGATCTCAGTCACGTTTCACTTCCAAGGTGACCTTGTTTGGGAGAGGGCAAGTGAGACCTGGAGGCCACTAGGGGAAAGTACTGGATTCTTCGAGGGAGAGAAACGCGCAGCCGGGGCCACAATGACGCTCTGGGGGCTGAGAAGGAGGGGTGAGCTTCCGCCCGAGAGGCGTCGGGAGGACATTCCCCCAGGCGCTGCCACTCAGCGGCCTGATGTGGCCGACTTTAATGCGGCCTCCTGGCTCAGGGTGAAGGCGCCTCCCGGTTGTCTCCTAGGCACCCCCTGGCCACCTTTTTCCACCTGTTTTTCCGAGTGAGTGCCATCGTCACCTACGTGTGCTGTGACTGGTTCAGCAAGAGCTTTGTGGGCTGCTTCGTCACCGTGCTGCTCCTCCTGTCCTTCGACTTCTGGTCTGTGAAGGTGAGGCCCCTCGCCAGGTGACGCTCTCTCCAGATGTGTGTGCTCTGCTCCCCGCGGTGACGTCCCCTATGCACACGGGACCCGGATGCTCGGGTTTAAACGGCCGAGTTCTGAGGCCTGTCACAATTAATCAGAGGAACAAGGGCTGCTAGCGTTTCGTAAATGGCTCTGGTTGTACGCAGGCTCCAGGATGAGGTGACACCCTGTGTGGCTTTGGACTTTGGTGAGGTTCTCACTGTGGCATTCACGTCGTACATTCTAAGCCTCCATAACACGAGTGTGTCACAGGTCCGTGTGAGTCAGGGGGTCTGTCGCTTTTTAGAGAAAGCTTAGAGATCAGAAACCTTGGACGCCCATTTGGAAAGCCACCAGGGTCAGCTGCCGTGTTCGCCTGTCCCCAGCACAAGCTGGACGCGGGCTGGGACTTTCACTGCACTGGCCACGGCACGCTGACGTCCTCTTCCGTCTTCCTAGAACGTGACGGGGAGGCTCATGGTGGGCCTCCGGTGGTGGAACCAGATCGACGAGGACGGGAGGAGTCACTGGATCTTCGAGGCCAGAAAGGTGTGCTGGGGGGCGGGGCGCTCCCGGTGCCCGGGGTTGGGGGCAGCAGCTCTGGCGACATGAGCGCGTGGCCAGAGCCACAGGGGGCCTTCGCCCACCTTCTGCCAGGTTTGAAAGCTGCTCTCCTCGCCCCCACAGGCCTCTCCGAGCAGCACGGCTGCCACGGAGGCCGAGGCGCGGATCTTCTGGCTCGGCCTCATCATCTGCCCCGTGATCTGGATCCTGTTTTTCTTCAGCACCTTGTTCTCCCTGAAGCTCAAGTGGCTGGTAAAGGACACCGGGACCTCCTGGCTCTCCAGAGCCCGGCCGTGGGAGTGCGGTTTTGTCACTATTGTCATTGGTTGATAGGTCGTGGTGGCACTGTTGATAGTCACACCCAGCACATTTTGGCCCCGGGAAGTTTGGAGCTCAATAGCTTAGAGTTGTACAAGCATCGCCACCTTCATTTCAGGACATCTTCTTCCTCCCCAAACAAACTCTGTACCTTTAGTCTATGTCCCTTTCCCCCAGCCCCGGGCACCTGCCCATTCTGGGACATTTCCTATAAATGAGATCACATAATACGTGGTGTCTGTGATGCCTTCTGTGGCTTAGCACCTTTCCAAGGTCTGCCCCAGCTGTAGCGGGTATCCGTAGGTCATTCCTTTTTGTGGCTGAACAATATTCCACAGTATGGCAGACGCTTCTCGTCATCCATTCTTCATCTGACGGTCACTTGGTTGTTGATGGCCTTGGTTCTCATGGGTAATGCTGGTGACAAAGGAGCTCTGTTCTTATTAGGTGGATGTCTTGCAGTGCTAGGAGTGAACCAGAGCCCTGTGTAGGCCGAGCTTCCCCCCCCCCCCCCGTCCCCAGGCTCAGGAAAGCTCCCCCAGTGCTAGGGACGGAGCCCGGGCCTGCTCCACCCGAGCCACAGCTCCGGTCTCGCTAGGCCGCCCAGGCTGGCCTTGCGCTCGCCTCCTCCTGACTGGGCCCTGGTGACGGGGTGCAGGAGTGCAGCATCGTGTCCGGCCGAGGGAGGAGTCTGTTAAAAAACAAACCCACACATGACACCCTGCCTGGACGGGGGGCCCTCTAGGTAGGGACGGGCCTGCGAGGTCGGAGTTTCATTCTGGAGGTGCGTGTTCACTGCCGTGGTCTAGTCTAAGGACTTGGGGACTCGTCCAGGTGTAGCGTATGCCCCGTGGAGTTGGACACGTGGCCTCTGGGCAGCTTTAGTCGCTCTGCACTTCTGCTCCCTGCTGTGAAATGGGACGGCAATGGCATGACCTCGGCTGAGGGCTGGGCGGCGTCCGGCAGTGCTGCTGGTCACTACGGGCAGGGTCCTTTCACGGGGTCGGGCCAGGCTGGGTGGCACAGGCACAGTTCTCTCGGCCCTCACAGCCCCCTCTGCTCTGCCGAGCCAGGCCCTCGTCATAGCCGGGATCTCGCTCCAAGCCGCCAACCTCTACGGCTACATCCTCTGCAAGATGGGAGGCGAGAGTGACATCACCAGAGTCACGGCCAGTCTCCTGTCCCAGACCGTGTTCCAGACGGTGAGTCACTGAGCTCGCGCCCAGGACTGCCCCCTTCCTGACCTGCGGGAAGCGGCCTGTGCGGGTCCCCTGACAGCCGGCTGCTGCTGGCACTTTCTATTGGGGCAAAACACACACAAAAAGGAGCACATGAACTATTTTCAAGTGCACAGTTCTTGGCATTAAGTGCGTGCACGATGCTGTGTGACCATCACACTGTCCCTGTCCAATCGCCCCGACTGAACTCTGTGCCCGTGAAACACTAACCGGGTGCAGTCCCCCCGACCGGCACCCACCACTCCACTCTGCCTCTGGCTCTGAGGCTCGAGGGCCAACTCTAGGTGTGATCTTAAGGACTTGTCCCTCACCGTCATTCAGTCACTGAAGAGTGACTTCTAGAACCTCCAGAAGTAAGGACAGAAACAGGAAGATTTCTCACATTTTTAAAGTGAGCAGAAACTTCCAGAAGTGAGAAATAGATCTTTTAAATCCGATGGGACTCAAGCTGAAATGGCTTGGACCATCCTAACCCGAATGCCGTGTGCCAGGACCTCGGCGGGCAGTCGGCAGGCTTCCCGGGCAGGACAGAGAGCCGAGCTGACTCTCCTCCCGGGTGACGTTCAGAAGCTGGTCTTCAGGGCTCGAGACTCACCAGCACTCGGTGAGAAACGATCTGGGCTGGTGGCCCAGGAGCTGGTGGGAGGGACAGCCCCTGCCCCCGCTGAGCCTATGGTCTGGGTGGGCTCCTGCCGATGCCCTGAGGTGGCTGGGGGCACAGCCAGGCGCGAGCCAGATGCCCTGGGCTCTGCAGCCGTCACTCTTTGGAGGGTCTCACCTCCCTCACACAGAACAGATGCAAATCCAGGCCCCCCCCCAGCCGCCCCATGTAGGCAGGGAGGACAGCGGGCGGAGGAGAGCGGGCGGAAAGAACAGGGGACTTGCCCGCCCTCCGCTTTATGCCCAGAGTGGTGTGGAAAACGGGATCTGCTCTTCCCTCATGGGTCTCGGTTCCTGTGTGTCTCATCCTCAAGTCACTGGAAACATCTGGAGTTCACATCTCTCAAAAACCCTGAGTCGTTTGTAGGTGACCCTGGAGGTCACTGGACATACTGCCCACTTACTAACGGTGCCAGACCGCGTGCCTGGGGGGGCTCTTCCAGGGACCTGCAAGGGCTCCCAGCCGCAGAGGACGCTCAGGTGGCTCTGACGCCGTCCACTGCTAGGCCATGTGGCCAGAGGTGCCACTGCTCTGCAGTGGGCCACGCTCACCCTCGGTTTCCTCCAGGCGTACCTGTCACCAGAGGCAGAGATGGCCTAGACGGGGTTCCGTGGTCAAGGGGGCTCCCCGAAGAGCACGTCCCGGCCCCCAGCCCTTGGTGTCCAGGAAGCAGGCCTCGTGGGACAGGTTCAAGGAGACACTTTTATTTTAAAATGGCACGTGTGTAAGGAATGCCCTTTGCTGTGTTCTGAAGAAGGTGGCAGACAGGTGATCAAAGTGTCTTCAGGACGTGACTTCGTGCGGCACCAGAGTCTGGTCCCTTTGCCTGCAACCCCACCTGACCCGAGTGCTGCCCGGAGGTTTTGCAGCTGGGGGCTGCCTGGTCCCCCGCTCTGTCCCCTGCTTCAGGAACTGCTGAGGCTCTCCTCTTTTGATTGACGGGGACTACAGAACTCCTGGATTTCTGGAAAACAGCGAATGGGCAGAGCGCTAACCTGACCAGCCCTGCAGGGAGCTGCCACGCCACAGCAGAACCCCAGCGGCCGAGTCCCTGTGAAAGCCTGTCCCTAAGATGCCCTGAATCCTAGAATGTGACCCCAATGCCTCCCACTGCCCACTGCGGTTGTAAGCAGGGGCTGGAGGCCTTATGTGGGCCCATTCCGTAGCTGGCCCCTGGGGACTGCATGAGCGGACACCATTTTATTGGCAAGTAAGACCCGGCCTCAGCCGAGAGGTGGGAACTTCTGGGACTGCTACCTTAAACCCAAGGCCACCAAGACTGCCTGTAGGTGACATCTGGCCTGACGGTGGCTTTGTTTTGCACCCCAAGGTTGGAGGTTTTTCTGGTACCGGGGATTGAACTCGGGCCTCGGTCACTGAGCCACACCCCAGCCCTATTTTGTATGTTATTTAGGGAAGAGTCCCACTGAGTTGCTCAGCACCTCCCTTTGCTGAGGCTGGCCTTGAACCCACGATCCGCCTGCCTCAGCCGCCCGAGCTGCTGGGATGACCGGCTGCGCCACTGCGTCTGGCTTTGGGTTTGTTTTAAGTCAGTTTCTTATTGTCTTCCTGAAACGCACTTCCTCTGCCATGGATTTCACCTCCCTGTGTCTGTTAAGCTATGAACTGGTTCTCCGCACGGACACCCGGGGAGCTTTCTCACGGCGTCTGGGGCCACTCTGTGGTCCCGCTCCCCACCACCCGTGCTGCAGGCGAGTACTCCGTCCTCCTGCCCAGCGCCTCCCGCCCAGCTCCTCCCGCAGCTCCCGGTCAGCAGGCGTCTGCGGTGACAGACACACACTTACTCTGAATTATGCTTCTGTAGGCTAAGGTGGCTGGTGAATCTGGTGCTTCAATAAAAAAGGACTGGCCTTGGTCACAGCTCTTACCTTAAAGAGGAGAGAGACAATGAGGGCCAGGAAGGAAATGGCTCAGCGAGGCCCCGGGTCTTTCTGTGCCGTGGTGATGTGGTGGTCTGGAGCTGCCAGCAACGTGGGGACCTGGGACCTTAGCTGTGTCCCTTTGCCCTCAGAGGCACTGGCTAGCATTTCAGCTCTGCTATAAATCGGGAGGCGATGCACAGCCAATGCAGGTTCCAGGGCCCAGGCAGGGCCTGGTGGGCCTGGGAGGGCCTGGGTGGGCCTGGTGGGTCTGGTAGGGCTGGGAGGACCTGGTGGGCCTGGGTGGACCTGGTAGACCTGG